TCTTCATGGGAGCAAAGGCCACATCTTTGTCAGCACAGGGGCTGGTGGGTCTGAAGCTCGGTCCTTTTGGTTATCAGCCAAATGCCCTAATCATTGTGCCACCACAGTTCTGTGCTGGGATTATGAGAAAGAGTTACTTAAAATAAACCAAAAAAAACAAACTCACTGTCATGGAGTGGGACCCGACTCATAGTGACCCCTCCTTGGGTTTCTGAGGCGGTATCACTACAGAAGTAGGTTGCCCAACCGTCCTTCCGAGAAGTGGCTGGTGGGTTTGAACCGCCAGCCTTCTGGTTAGCAGGCAATGCCTTAGGCACTACGCCACCAGAGCTCCTTACTCAAAACAAGGTTGCTTGAAAATACGTAAGACAACAAAACCACACCTTAAATGCAACCTCGATAGGTCAACAGACCCCTCTTCTGAGGTTCCCCTCCCCTCGAGCTTAACCTAAACGTTTAAAAAACAAAAAAAAAAAAAATGTTAAAAACAGCTATTTACAACATTAGTTCTACCCAGTGAATCCCAGCTTCCACTTAAGGCAATAGACAAGGGCTAAGCCAGCGGACCGGGTGCGGCGGGCCCCGTGCGATCCATCGCGGCGCAGACACCATGCCCGCCTTGGGCCGCGGCAGGAGAGCGTGTCCGGGCCTCCGAGGCCGGACGCGTGTGTCCCAGGCTTCCCGGTCGGAGGACGGCTGTTCCGCCTTCTGCCTTCCCGCCTCACGCGGCAAGGCGCGGCCTACGCATAAACCGCTCCGGCGCCTAAAACCGGGCGGTCAGGGAGACCACCCCGAGCAGCAGTACGAAGGGGCCCTGGGAGGGCAGCGCCCGCTCGCCCGCGACCCCAGCGACGCTTCGGCGGCGAGGGAACAGAAGGCGGAAGAGAGCGGGCTCCCAAGGCTTTACCCTCCGTTGAAGGCGTAGGGCGAAAAGCGCAGCTGCAAGGGTCCCGCGGCGCCGAAAGGCTCCATCCCCAGGTCTCGGCCAGGAGCCGGGAGCGTAGCCACCGAAGACAACATTGCGCCGCTCCGCCCGCTGCTGTCTCACGGCGAGATGGCGGCCCCGATCGGAAGTGGCCCTCTCAGTCCCGCGCTCCGCCCCGGCAGGAAACGGAGCCGCTTCCGGTTCGCCGTTGAGCCACGGGCCGCTCTATCCCGCGCTCCTCGTTGCTCCGGAGGTGAGCGCCCCGACCTGGCCTGTTGGTGGCGACACTGGCTGTCCCCAAGAGCCTCTGAAGACTGCAAGGTAACACTGGAATTCAGTGTCAATTCCTGTTGAGGGTCTTCCTCTTTCTTCGCTGACCTTCTGACAAGCTGATGTCCTTCAGGGACTGGGCCCTCCTGCTAACATGTCCAGGGGACGTGAGACCATCTCGTCTTCGTGGCCTCTGATGAGCTTCCTGGGGGTTATTCTTCCAGTGCAGTTTTGTGCCTTCTTCTGCCTGGAAGAAATCCACGTCTCAAAAGGGGGGACCAGGTTTGCTGGTCCGAAAGAGCCTGGTGGAACCACGGAGACTATGGCCCCTAGCTGCCCTTCAGGTCTGGAATTGAACCCACACCTGTGGCTTCCAGCCAAACAAAAGACAGGCATATGAGCTGAACATTTACCTGAGGTAGATACACTCCTTGGAGAGAATAATCATGGGAGAACAGAAGGGCTGTGTCTGCACGGAGAGACAGCTGGGGGGGGGGGGCAGGAGTGCACAGAGGGAAGGACACAGGGAAGAGGTAACTATCTGGAGGAAGTGGGAGGGGGCTGTTGCATTGTATTGTGGGACATTGCAGTCAATGTTATGAGACAAAGCATGTGAGCTGCTGTATGGAAAGAGAAATTGCTTTGTAAATTTTCACCCAAATCACAATAAAAAATAAAAAAAAGAAATCCACGTCCATTACAAAGAAAGGGGATCCTGCGGACTGTTGGAAATTATCCGACAGCACCGTTAATACCTGGAGCCCTGGCGGTGCAGTGGCTAAAGTGCAGGGCTGCTACCTCAAAGGCCAGCAGTTTGAACCCACAGCTCACACTGCAGGAAGGGGCAGGGATGAGGCAGCTTCCTTATGATTGAAAGACACGCTGAACTCACTGTGGTCCAGCCGATTCGACTCATAGCCACCCCTCCTTGGATTTCCCAGGCGGTAGCATAGTGCCTAAGGCACTTGACTGCTCACCAGGAGGGTGGCGGTTCAAACCCACCAGCCACTCCTCGGAAGGAAGGTTGAGCAATCCTACTTCCGTAGTGATACTGCCTCGGAAACCCAAGGAGGGGTCGCTATGAGTCGGGGCCGACTTGATGGCAAACAACAACAACAACAACAATCTCTACAGAAGTACATTGCCCAACCTTCCTTCTGAGGAGTGGCTGGTGGGTTTGAACTCCCAGCCTTCTGGTTAGCAGTCAAGTGCCTTAGGCATTACACCACCAGAGGTCCCTCGATAATGATTACAGCCTTGGAATCCCTATGGGGCCGTTCTCCTCAGCCTTGTAGGTCTGCTATGAGTCAGAATGGCTCATGGCAAGGAGTTTTGGTTTATTATTAATATCATACACATGTAAAATTATGCTGAAGATAATTTTAAAATATTTGCAACAGTACATTGATAGGGAACTGCCAGAAATTCAAGCGGGATTCAGACGATGTAGAATGAGGGATATCACCGCTGATGTCAGTGGAACTTGGCTAAAAGCAGAGAATACCAGAAAGATGTTTACCTGTGTTTTATTGACTATGCAAAGGCATTGGAGTGTGTGGATCCTAACAAATGATGGACAACATTGAGAAGAATGGGAACTCCAGAACACTTGATTGTGCTCATTCAGTAAGTCTACGGGTGGGTTGACACAGTAGCTCAACATTGGGTGCAGTTACAGCAATGGTTGTGAGTCTGGTTCAGGACCAGGCAGTGTTTTGTCCTGTTGGACACACAGTTACTAGGAGTTGGAACCAGCTCAACAGCCCCTAACAACAATCACTGAGAGTACAAATTGGTACAACTAGGTTGAGAACAGATGGGCATCATCTAGAGCAGCTGAAAAGGCACAGCCTTTGTGACCTTTGCTCCTGTGTGCACACCGTAGCCAGAGGACATGTGGAGAATGTTCACACCAGTGCTGTTGTTAGTGGCCTCATGTCGAGACAGATGTCTACAGGCAGAAGAATGGTGGAACTGATCAAGGACCAACCAAAAAACAACCCACTGCCACCAGGTCCGTTCCGACTTGTGGCAGTTAAGGTTGTATATCAGCTTGGCTGGGCAGCTGGATGTAGTCATGATGAGCCTGGTAATCAGCTCCAAGGTGGAATCTTAAGAATGTGGTCTGCTTCTAGTATATAAGGAGCAGCTTTGACAAAAGCCTCTAGCTTCTTGGCACATTTGGATCCTGCATGAGGCTGAGTCATCAGTCTGGCCTGCCAAGTTGTCCGCCGATCTTGGGACAATTTCTGGACTGGAACTAGAGGCCTGCCATGTTGCTTGATAATCGTGGGACTGTGCCATTTTGCTGTTGACCCTGAGCTTGTCAGCCTCAGCAGCCAGCAGCTGCCGGAGTTAAGAGATACCACTTGCTCCAGTGGGCTGGGAGCATCGGGCAGAGCTGAAGCCCAAGGTCAAGGGGGCCTTCCCCCAGCCCCTAGAGCTGACACTTTGAACTCGGACTTCTAGCCTCCTAAACTGTTAAGAGAATAAATCCCTGTTTCTTAAAACCATACATTTGTAGGATTTTCTGTTAGAGCCGCACGGGAGCGGCTCATAGGCGCCGCCGTCGGGTTTCCAGGCTGCAGACCTTCATGGAGGTAGACTGCCTCCCCGCCCACCGCGGAGCAGCTGGTGGCTCTGAACTGCCCGTCTTCTGCTTAGCAGCCAAATGCCTGCCCACTGTACCACCCGAGCCCCTTCAGCAAGCTGTAGGCATGCAGTAAGGTCCCTGGTGGTGCAAATGTTTTATGCTCAACTGCTAATTTTAGGGCTTGGCAGCTGGAATCCACCCAGAAGTAGCACACAAGAAAGGCCTGGTGACCGGCTTCTGCTCAGATTCCAGCCAAGAGCACTCTGAGGGGGGACCTGCTCGGTGCCACAGGGCGCCACGGGTCAGAACCAGGAACCCCTGAGGGGTCCTGCTCAGTATCACAGGGTGCCACGGGTCAGAACCAGGAACCCCTGAGGGGTCCTGCTCAGTATCACAGGGTGCCACGGGTCAGAACCAGGAGCACCCTGAGGGGTTCTGCTCGGTACCACAGAGCGTGCCAGAACCAACTTCCCAGCAGCCTATCACAAAAGCAGGGCCGTACAGTGGGATACATCACGGCAAGAAGATGCAGCCAGCTCGGAAGCAGGGAAGAGACAGCAGTGTGAAGGAGTCGTAGAAACTGCCGGGAGGGAGCAGGGGTGGCCCACCTCAGGGGCATAGAGCAAGCCGGAAGTGTGTGTCTGGCGGTGGATGGGGCAGCCCCTGGCCAAACTCTGTTTTCTTCGCTTGGCTTAGAGCTATTTGTTCATCAGTCCATGCGTTCGATGCCCTTTCTTATCTGACAGTTCTGTTTCTCCTCTTAAAAAACGCTATTTAAAAAAGCAAACCATTGGCTCATGTAGTATAAACTTGCTGGGTGGAACAGAGGGTTAACGTGCTCGTCTGCGCAGCAGAGGTTGGAGTTCGAGTCCAGCAGAGGCACCTCAGAAGAATGGCCTGTTGGTTTACTTCTGAAAAGTCGGCCACTGAAAACCCCCTGGAGGCCTGCGTGGAGGCAAACTGGGCCGCCCTGTCGCGGCATGGTGGGGTTCCACGCAGCTCTCTGCCAGCCAACCAAAACGGAAACTCAGATTGGACGAGTCAGTGACCCTCCGCAGCCCCCGGGGATTAGGGGCTTTGCAGGCATGCAGACTCTCCGCGTGCGGGACTGGGAGAAGGGTCTCCAGCCTGAGAGCACGCTGCGCCAGCACCTTCCTCCCCTTCCCCCTGTACCTGCTCCTCCTCCTCTTCTCAGGCCTTGGCTTCCCAGGCAGCGGAGGCCCTCTGTCCGCTCCTTCCAGGCCACTCCAGGAAGGAATTGGCCTTCACTGTGTCCCCAGCATTGCCCATGGGATCTCTGGGGCCTGGGCACCTCTCCCACAAACTATTTTCAGTTCCTTTCTCTTCCCCAGACCCCTACTTTCCATTAGACATTTTAAGGCCAGTGCTGTTTTCAGCCACTTGTAATAATGTTCGAGGTGCCCTTTAGTTGAGATGCAGTCAAGCTCTTTGGTCCCAACTGTCCTGGTCAGAGACGCCTAGGGGGTATCTTTTTTATTAATTTCTCTTTAAGGGTTGACAAGGTGTAAAAATACGAACTTTCAGTAATCTTGGCTATTTTCTACTAAAGCTTTTCTTATGCCTTGACACTAAGGAGCTCTGGTGGGACAGTGCCTGACATTTGACTGCTAACCAGGTGCTCGAGGAAGGAAGACGGAGCAATCCACTTCTGTAAAGATTTACTGCCTGGGAAACCCAGTGGGGGCTGCTCTGACTCAGAACCCATTGACGGCAGTGGGTGTGGTTTGGGCTTTGCTTCCGTGAAGACTGACAGCCTTGGAGACCCTGTGGCAGTTCCACTCTGTCCTCTAGGGGCGCTGTGGGTCAGAATGGACTCCAGGCAGTGGGTGTGGTTTGGGCTTTGCTTCCGTGAAGACTGACA